ACACAGGAAAACAGTGCTAACTACAGAGTTTTGTTTTCCTTGTCAGAACAGCATTTGGAGTTCACCTTTCCTTTCCTTGGAAGAGAAGGGGGAAGAGTAGTCTCAAAATGAAGTTCTGTCATGGTCTGTCTTTTGGCTGTCCCCTGAAATACTGCATATGAACCTGGATGTGGAGGAGAAACTTTCAAGAGGGAAGGGTTTTGCCCTTGAAAAATTACTCTTTGAGCTGCTCTGGGTTTGTGACTGGAATAAATTGTCGGAGGCCCTATTGGAGTTAATGAAGAAGCAGTTAAATGTGAATTGCTGCACTTCTGGAGGAGCTGGTCCTGCTTGTCAGTGACTATTTCTTGCAAACTGCCTGCAGCAAGACTAATTGGAAGGGAATCACCTCTCATCAGAAGGTCGAAACACCTAGACCTGGCTTCATCCTGGCTGCCTGACTATGGCGTATGTATTGTGCACAGGAGAAACTGAGGCACAGATGATAGGAAGTGGCTTGGTTTAGGACCGTGTCTGGAATTACAGATGTAGCTAGGAGCAGACATGAGGATCCCTTGCCTTTGCTCACAGCTCATGGTTTCACACATCGAAGTTAGGTGTCACCAGTTTCTTTTCTACCACCCGGCAGGGGTGAGAGGAAGGAGGTCAAAGTGGAATTAAAAGCAATGTAATTAAAAGCACCTGTAAATGCTCCACCGTGGAGTCTGACAGCCTTTGTTCTCTCTGTGCCTTGCCTGAATATCAATACTACCTCTGGCTCTGCCCACTCCTGGGCAAGGCGACTGTCTCACAAGCAGGCAGCATCGCAGGCAGGCATCTGTGTTTGCCAAAGCTCTTCTGGGGATTTATTCCTTTCCACACAGGGCAGTGGTGGGAATCGGATGCGCCTTTACAACTTGCAATTACATGGTGCCTTTCATCCCAAAGGACTTGTGACAAGTGCGTCTGCAGACTGCACAGGGATCATCCACCCACCTCTGAGTGGCATCCCCTACTGGAAAACAGCATCCTTTAAATGGAAGTAGACAGTGTTTCCCAATCGCTGAGGCCCAAGGGTAGGAAAGAAGGGACTCCTGTGCTGGATTGGCCCTGAGTAGGGGATGGGTTGGCAGAGTGCACAAGCTGGTCTGATTTTTGAATCCCACCAGGATACCAGAGCTCTTGTGAAAGAGGACCAAAGAGTATTAAGCAGGGTTTAGTTTAGCATCACCCCTAGCACACCACTCCCTTCTAAGACATTGTTGTGTTAGGTAACTTCACTTTCCCCTTCTCCTGTGGGGATTGTCATACCCACAGCTGAAAGCATGTTTGGAGCTTGTTTTTGCTTTGTTCTAAGAAGAGAACCATGCTTCTGTGGAATCATGAGTCCAAAATTAAGTTATTTCATAATCTGCATTTGGGATATTTTCCCAGACTTCATAGGGGTAAGGGATGGGTTTCTAGGAAGAATGTGGGTTTGTACTAGTAGATTTATTCTCTACCTGTTTATCTTCTCCCTGTGTACTTTTTCCTTGCTGAAGCGTATTGTTATGATACAGATAGATTTATGGAGCAATTCTGTTTTCTGAGGGCTGCTCATATGATTGAAATTCTGCATTTGTTCTATGATGTTTAATATCACTGGTATTTGAGACACCAACATCGGGTTGCTATCTGTACCATCTTTAGGTGTACTTCTTGAAGTGTGTCTGCTTCAGGCATGTTTCAAGCCTTGTTTCTTATTCGCCAACTGTACTTACTTGATCGTGATAATCCCATTGGGTGACCACAGCACAGGTTTGTAAGATCGTACATGTAGGCATGTGTATATAAGGGAAGAATGTATGTCTGGGTGCGTGCTAACAAGCATGTGTGATCAGGGTGGTCTGTGCATAGTTGTTCGAACTGTGTGTAACATGAACTAGCTCCCTTAGGAGCTCGAGTAACTCAAATGAGGTGTGCAATGAAGCAGCCTGAGTGCCTGCAAGTACTGAAACCACCTTCTGGTCTGGGCGGTTGTACAAGGAAGTGATGAGCTGTGCTCCCTTGGACTCTCCCCTGGATGCTGGTTGAGTGTGGCCCATGCTTGGCTTGAGTTTTGATGGGAGTGGACAGGATTTGTATGAGTGGAGAAGATTTCCAAGTCTGGAGGAGGTCTTTGTGTACACAGAGGGATGTGGACAAGTGACCAAGGGAATGTGTGTGTGTGCTGGGGAGAACCTGAAGCGTGTGAGAGCCGGTGAGTGTGCCAGAGTGTGCGTCTGAGTGTGTGCGCCCTCCTGCCAGCAGCAAGTGCTTGTATCTCAGGCAGTTCTCCAGCTGTGTAAATATATTGCTTAAGACATTGAGGGCTCTGGTTAATGATTGCCATTAGCACGGGGCCCATATTAGGCTCCATTTTGTGTGAGTTACCCAGCTGCTCAAATGCCATTAGAGTGAACACATCAGCCTTTAATGTTGAGCGTGGAGTGTTTGTGCTCCAAGGAGCCTCTGCAGGAGCTGGCCTGGGGTTGCTCAGCAGGGGCTGTCAGGCAGGTTTGTGGCAAGCTCACCAGGGGCCTGCAATAGCAGCAGCAACTCTGACAGCCTTCCTTAGTCAAAGCGATGTTCTGGGTGTCATTGGTTGGTGCTGGCACCCAAGAAGAAGGGCAGGCTGGCTAGGACACTTGCCCAGTCTACAGGGAGGCAGCTGGCCCAGGCGATGGGGTGGGAGGAACATGTTCCACTCTCTGGCAGCCATCCCTGTCCATCTTCTTTCTGGGAATGCATCTACAGAGCTGTGCCTTGTGCTGTTCATTAGAGCCAGACCACCACATGCTGTGATCCCAAATGGTGTCGTGGACTAAGCCAGATCAGGCCTGGTCATCCCGAGATCAGGATATGAGCTCCAAAGAAAACATACTCTTCTGCAAGAAGAGAGTGGTGAGATTTGGTGCCAGTGCTTTCTTTCCTCCAGCAAGGTCCCTAGAGAGGTGCTGTGCTGCCAGTCATGGAGTTAGGTGCAGGACACACTTGTACTGCTTGGGGTTATAAATGACTGCAGGTCAGCCAGGGTGTTGCCGTGAATGCCTGCAGCTGGGCACGGGGCCCTTCCCACCCTGCCTTCTCCGGCTGTTGTCTCATGGCCGCTGGAGAGGTGCCACGATGAAGAGGTGGGATTGTGGGCCATTTGAGCCTTACTTGCAGATGCCTGACCACCCATGAATCCGCATTCTCCTGTGTCTTCTCACATCTCTGTCCTTGACCTCAGCCCTTGTTCTGCCCCCGTCTCCCTCATGGTGCCCTGGGAGGGCTCTCTGCTCCACACATTGGCCCCAAAAGAAGGCCCAGTGAGAAGCACCAGGGTGCTTTTCTACCCAAAGCCTGGTGAGTTTTGTGGATGACTTTCATCCGTCCTCTGGACCTGTCTTTCCCCAGCCTCTTCTCCATCTGCTGTCCGCCAGAAATGAACCGATTCAGCTGCCTTCCCTAATCCTGTTTGGCATTTCAAAATGGAGGGGGCTGCCAGGTTCTTTGTTCCTGTTCCCTCTTGGCACTGGCAGGGGACCTTCTCTGCTCTAGAGAAGGACAAATGTGCTGATTTATTCTGCCCCTTAACTTTGAATAGGGGTTGCTATGTTACCTTCCAGCTCTGAGTCTTGCCAGAGCACACACCATGTATAACCCCACAGCAGGTGGCTATTGAGTAAAGGCCCTTAAATCTGCGTCTCTTATTTCTTATGCTGCTGGCCAAGGTGTCAGGGGGATGTAGCAGGGCATGATTTTCTGGCTGAAATTCCAGGCACAGCTGATGCCAAGCAACATGTTGGCATTTTCCATTCTCATATGCCCATCTTAATTTGCAGAGTAGGTACCAACTAGGCAGGAACATGCTACCCACAATGGCTTTTAAAGAGGCCTTCTCTGACATGAGAGCTGCCCTATGGGGCTGACCTATGGCCAAGATCCTGGAGATAGAGGCTTCCAGGTCCTGCTGCAGTGACTGCAGCACCCAGGGCCTGGCTCGGACACCTCTATAATACTTTCTGGTTTGGAAGGACTGTTTGGGTAAGCCTGACCATTTGAGTAGCTTTCTGGGAAAAGCTGCCTGTGCAAGTTAAAACCCAGCCAGGATAGAGTCAGGTGGCATCAAAACATCACCTTGCCGTGCTGGTATGTGGTTGCAGCTGTCTGATAGACCTGACTTTGAAGTGCCAAAATTAATCTCTTTTTTGGCAATTCCTTCAGGATCCACAGGTTCCAGCACAGCTTAGTGGGGAACAGCATTTCTGGCCTGTTATGCAGTGCGGGGATGCATGAGTATTTCTGGACTCCTTGGCTGGTTCTGCTCTGACCATGCTCTGAACACCAAGAACAAACTGGGAAGAGAATGGTCTCTAGTGGCCATGATATGAACCAGGCTGTAAGGCTTTTAGGTGGAATTTTTTCTTCTGACCATCTCTCAGCCATTCCTCATTGAACTGTGGAGCCTGGAGCCAAAACTCTGGAGAGTTTCAGTGTGTCTGGGACTATAGATTAAGAAGGAATGATTTGTGAATCCTTACTGGAGAGCTGTTGAAAAATAGGACTGAAGAACAAGTCCTCAGAGTTGACTTTGTTTACCTCCCTGCTCTAAAAGTGTAGTAGATGCTCTTTCAAGACCAAGTGAACCTGAATTTAGCTTTTCCGTGTATATACCTTCTGACAGTGATGCTGTTCTGATTCTGGGATTCTAAGTGCATCATGGATATCCTGTTCCACTTAGTGGCTGCAAGTGCTGTGAAATCTGGTCATGTGGATTCCAGGGACCTCAGTCCTGGAAAGAGGGGGCACACATGCTTTTTTTTCCTGAGAGGTAGGAGCAAGGACATGAGCAAAGTTCTTCACTGTCTATTTTAGTGCCGTTTGCTGCAGGTGTAAGCATGACTCATTCAAAGAAGTGTAATTACCAGAAAGGGATGTGACAAAGCACTTGAGGCAAGGACTTCACTGTTTGCGGCTTATCTGAGCACTGACTTCATCCTTCTTTTATTTTGCTGCAGAGCATCAATGGAGGCTGCCCGCCGCCCCACTTTGTGTATGATCCATCCACCTTTGCCTTCCGTTCTCTCAGCACCTTGAAGCCGCTGAGCCCAATAGCTCCAGTGGAAGAACCGTCATGTGCCTACTGAAGGAGTTTCTCCAAAAACCTCAGGAACTATCAACCAAGCACCTGCCTGGCAGGAAGAAGAGAAGGTGGCGATACCCAAGGGCATGGGTGGGAGAAGAAGGGGACAATGACACATCTTTGCAATACAGCCTCTCTGGCAGCAGGAAGCATACAGCTTTGCAGCAGTGCCTGTTTTCGTACCATTGGCGTATCTGAACAGCGGCAAGGGAAAAGGGTTTTTTGTCTTTCAAGGCAAAAAGAACCAGTTGGGTCCACAAACTGCAAGGGCAGGCACCAAGGCAGTGTCAAATTATGGGGATGATGGTAGCTGAAGATAACCCTGAGGGGTTCAGAGTATGGCCTACACAGCAGCAGGGATGAATGATCAGGGTATGAAACCAAGTCCAGTCAGTTTCCCAGGAGTATCTATGTTTATAGTGCTTTGCTATAGACCTGATCCTTCTCCCCCTCAGAAGCGAGCTCAGGATTGGAGACGGAGGCTATACAGGGCTGCCTGCAAAGAAAGAACATCATTCTCTGATATTTTTATAATTGCATTCACGTCAAGCTCTTGTGTGCAAGTCACTAGGAGAGGAAGGTGAGAAGGGGTAACTGGCACGTCTAGTTGCATGTTCCAGCTGGTCTGATGGCAACTCAGTGGTATCATCTAAAATGGAATTGAAATGGGAAGCAAGAGATCAGGGGTTAGAATAGATTTCTAGAATGGAAGGTCTCTGTTCAGCCATCCAAGAACATGCAGCACCCACCCTTAGTCCCCTCAGCATCATCAGATAGGAGAACTTGGGGGTGACTCTGTGCTCTTGAGTCTCCTCTCTGCTGAGGCTGTCTGTGTTCTGGGATATGCAGCGCTTTGCCATAGCGCTGTCCAAATGCCCTGCTGACCTACTGTGATGCTGAAGGTAATTGCTGTCACCAAACTCAAGCAAATCTAATGTCTCCAGCAAGCTTTCCGCTCCCCTGTTATGCTGGCTATCAAATTCTGGTAGGCTTTTTTTTGTGTCAGTGGAACAAGTATTTTCAGATGGAGTGGGAGAAAGAGGCCTCTATTTTGTGTCCACCTGTTGGTGGAATAAACAGGATGGAAGCTTGGGTGAAGCTGTGGGACGTTTTTCCATGAATGGTCCAAAGGCAGGTGGGACCATATGAGGCCGTGGGACCATATGAGGCCTTGGTACCACTGGAGTTTGACTGGGATCTGGCCTTGAGGCATGTATGTGTTTTATACTGCAAGGCGACAGCTAACAGAGCAAGCTCTTGCCTCTTTTGAGGAGGCAAAGGGACGAGGCATTTCCTCTTGCTGCACTTGGTGGAGAGAGTAACCTCTTTGTCCAGGCATTCCCCATGCTGAGGCTGTATCTGGCTGAGTTCGAGGGGGAATGAGTAGTTTACTTCTTGTCTGGATAAAGGGCAGCAACTGTAGTAGAAATAATTTTTTTTTTAAATCGGCTCCAGTGTGGAAGTCTTTGATGCCACTTGTTGGATGAGGCCAAGGATCAGTCCAGCTGCCAGTAGGAGGCCACACAGTGAACCAGCATTCACTGGTGCTTTCTGGGTCTTTCACTGAGACCCGTGGCAAAAGCCTGAAGCCCATGTAGGCCTGGGGACCTGAATCTCCTACCCCTACCTTCTTCCCTCCCCCATCACCTGTCACTCAGGCAGAACAGCTGGGCAAGGCAGTGAGGGGACATGTGTCCTGATGCTGCTACAGCTCTGCCTGCTCTTTGGCTCCAGACTATCACAGCTAGGCCACCACCAGCACCACCTCCAAGGGGCTGCTTGTGTTTGCTGGTGAGGTACCTCTGGCAGAGCATCGTGGTTACCTGCAAGAAGTCCCTTCTTTTAACAGAGGCCGATTCCTCTGCTCATTCCTCCTGCTCCTGTAGAGACTGCTTATCATGTTTTGATGGCACACCTCAGCTTTTTAACTGCTGCCACATCAAGCTGACCAGCACAGAGCAGGAAGTGTTGCCCCTTCAGACCAAATCCCTGTGCTCAGGAGAACAGACAGCTGTAGCCTGGTACCTATCTGAAGAGGCACATGCCCTGTGAAGGTGGCTGGGGTGGCAGCCCCCGTGTGGCCCTGTGCCCCCAGGCTTTGCTTAGCAAGAGCTGCTGAGGTGCTTGGCCTTGGAGAGTTGTTTGTGCCAGCCCGCAGGTGTGGCAGGCTGCCCTCTCCCGGGTGGGAGTGGGGAACAGGGATGCCCTGCCGATACCGTTGCCTTTTAGTACTTTTGTAACTTTTCTCTGTCTTTCTTTTCCAATCAGAAGGAAAAATAAAAAAAGCAAGCAACAACAACAATGAAATAAAGTGTAACGGCTGCTACATTCACAAATCTGATGGGTCTCATGTAGTTGCGATCTTCTGGGTGTTTGTGGGCAGGGGTATTGGACGGGGTGGAGTAGAGCAAGCTATGACACAGCGTTCCCAAATCCCAGGCAGTGTCTGCAGGGGAATGACTCTGCAAGCAAACTAGCTTCTAACATGAATGCCAGGTTATTTGTGTTCAAGAGGAGTTCCCTGTGCAGCTGCTCCCTTTGAGGCTGCCCTTGACATGGTGTATTGGCTCTCACTGGTGCTTTCCTCACCAAGAAGGTGCTTTGGCTTTTGAGTGACCTGCCTTTGCTTGTGACCTGACTGGAGGTCTCCACTCCAGCAAAGCAGAAGAGTGGGTAACTATACAGCTGGTTTTTTGCTTATAATTTTAACCTCAGATTAATCTCTGTCCCTATATTCTCAGCAGCCCTTTTGCTTACAGCCAGAGTACTCGTGCTTCTGAGCAGCGTAACTAGCTCCATCCTTTTTCTTATATTGCTCTAAAAACTCGCCATCTCAGGTACTTGTAGTGTGCATTCCCCATCCCTTGCTATCTCCCTGAGCTAACACCTATCTCTCCTCCACACTCCTAGCTCTTTGTCTTAACCAGCATCTCACAAGGCTATTACCTATGTCCCCCTTTCCAAGGCCCCCCGAGAGATACTAGTTTAAATTCCCTTAGCAGTCCTACTTAGACTCATTCCCAGGAGGCTTTTTCTGTTCTTCCCTCCAAGCTCTGATCTCTTCTAGGCTTCCTGCCATCTCTCTTATCTTGATATCCTCCCATCTCTCTCAGCTGCAGCTTGTTGTTAATTGGCCTTGGCCCATTTTCCAAGGGTTTTAAGATGGACTTGCTGGCTCCCTCAAGCCCTTTGCTCTTGCACCTCCCATACAGAATTGTCTTTGTGAGATTTCTGAGCTCGGTACACCCCCTTTGGGGCCCTGTTCAAAAACATGTTGGCTGCTGTGGCTCCACAAACCCTGATCATCTGTAGGCTTCTGCCAGGTCAAGCTTGCTTACAAGTGTATGAATGCATAGAGGAGCATGCATTGACCTCCTTATCAGTGAGAGTGTACATATGGACACCTGTTGTGCGGAGGCTGGGGTAGAGTTCCAGCTTTGCAGTGTGCAGTCTGCTAATTGGCCAGGGTGAGCTGGGATGCAGAGCTGCTTTCCTGCCCCCAGGGCTGTAGTCTGGGCCCTCAGCAGGTGTTTGGGTTCCACTGAACTGTGCCCACCCCTCATCTCTCCCTGCAGGCTGGATCTCTGAGTTGTTGAGAAAGCAGGGCAATTCCAGTGGTAGAACGTGATGGTAAGGTTTATATGACAACAGCTCTGAAGCTAGAAGAAGGCAGGTTAGTAGCATTCACAAAGATCTCATGGGGTACTTTTAAGGGTACGTAGTTACCAGTACGTAGTACCAGTTAAGGGTACTTTGTTACCAGTGTAGCTGACAAAGGAGGCTAAGGACATTGGCCTCATTTGGATGCCAGACCCATCCAGAGACCACTGTGGTAGCCATCAGCAGAAGCCAGGGAAACGAGAGCTGAGCTGTAGTTTTGTGAAGGCCATTCCTTACTGTAAGCACTGTGCCCCACTGCTGCCTCTGGCACACCTCGGTGCAGGGCTGTTCATCTCTGTGGCTTCCAAAACACTTTGTGCAAACGCTTCCTCTGCGGCTGAAGCGGGCAGGGGTGCTGGCTGGGGTGCAAATGAAGCCCTTTGTGAGCGTGGTGAGCTTGGTGTAGGCTCCTCAGGACTTCTGCTTTGCTGGAGCTCTCAGCTCCAGAGTTATTCCTCCCACCAGGTTTGGGGTGTGGCTTGGTGGAGGAGCCCATAACTTCTAAGCTGAGATCTTTCTCTGCTCTGAGCTGATCTTGCTTGGAGATGCGCAGGTGTTTCTCTTAAGAGCAGAAAACAAAGCCTGCAAAGAGAGGAAGGCTGTTGTGCCAAGGTACAGCCCGGCCGCGCTGAACTTGGCTGTTTTAATTGTCTGCAGGAGGGTGAATGGGGACAGGCGGCTATTTGAAGGGTTGGCCACAGCTCCTCTGTGATTTAAGTGGGACCATTTGGACTAATACTGTTCTCTGATTAAAGTAAATTAATGAGGTTAATGCTGTGGCCCTCGTAAAAATAACACGGGAGCCAAGCACACACAGCAGTGACAAAGGTGGATGTTGTACCCTGAGATTCAGTGAGTCCCTTTGCAGACAGTGCACAAGATCGACTCTTCTTGTGTTACTCAAACATTATCTTGTATATACATGTTTACATGCATGCACACACAAGATATATATTTATGTCTCTGTATATTTCATTTGTGCAGAAATATCTACTCTTACAGGCTCTCACAAGCAGGATGCTGTGTGCTCACCTGGGTCTTTATTTGACAGGATGCTTGATGTGAAGCCCACTTGTGGCACACTCACCATCTGTGTGCTACAAAGCATGATGATGCTTGGAAAACGTACTTGCCACCGCATTTCCAACTGTGTATTGAGTGTTGACCTATCTGCCTGCCTACCATATTTGACTAGGAAAATGGGCAAAATCAGCAGCGCTGCTAGGGCTGGAGTTCTCACCCCACGCTACATGGAGGCCAGTGAAACACAGCTTGGCACAGAAGCAACTAAGAAGCAGAATTTCCAGCCAGACTGAGTCTCTCCTCAAACAACTTCGGGCTTTC